AAAAAGGAAAAAAGGAAAAAGGCAAAAAAAAAAGAAAAAGAAAAAGAAAAGCAAAAAGGCCACCGGCACTCATCCCCAGCCCCAGATATTCCCGTATCGAGCTCGAGCTGCCGCCGTTGAGCCGTAGGCCATAGCTCTGAATCTGAGATGCGATTCGCCTCTCCTCATCTCACCGCTCTGGATTCTGTAGGGTGTCTATAAGAAGGAGAAGAAGGGGGGGGGAGGAAGAAGGGGAAAGGGGAAGGGGAAGGGGAAGGGGAAGGGGAAGAGGAAGAAGAAGGAGAAGAAGAAGAAGAAGAAGAAGAAGGCCATGACATGACATGACATGACAGGGCAATTAATGCGCGCCAGACGCCGTTCTGTGCAGCGGCCGCCTTGTTCTTTTATTTCTCACTCGGATGGTATCACATTCATCGTCGCGGTCGCAGTGGCACACACGCACGCACGTCGGACCTGGACGTGGAAGCGAGGAGATTTGTCGCGCAACCATTGGGTGCCCGGGTCAGGGCAGCAGGCAGGTCGGCAGGTCGGCAGGTAGGCAGGTAGGTAGGCAGGTACTACTGTACGTAGGTAGCTAACCAGCCAGCCAGCCAGCCATGAGCCAGGTCCTCACGGCAGCCTTGCCCGCCGTGAAATGAAAGGACAATAATATAACAACCGTTCCGCTTCCCCTTCCGCGTCCGCTTCCCCTCCCCCTTCCCCTTCCCTTCCCTTCCCTTCCCCTTCCCCTTGCCCCCCAAGAACCACACCGTCGCAAGTCGCAATCTCAACCTCAACCTCAACCTCAACCTCAACCTCAACCTCAATCTCAACCTCAACCTCAACCTCAACCTCAACCTCAACCCCATCAGCAGCCCCCCCTCATCAAAGCTACTACTACTACGTACTACCGATACCCCTCCCAAGTACGGAGCAAACACTACGTAGTAACTTCCCTAGCCTAGCCGGAGACGGGGAACGGCTCGCCGCTTCAAGCAGACAGATAGTAGTAGTAGTAGTAGTAGTATCACACCTACTACTACCTACCAACCTACCAACCTACTATAGTACTACTACCAACCTACCTCCCTATCTAGTCCAGCACACAGTCCGTATTCGACGGATGCCATGCCAGGTACAGGGTACACACCGATAGTGCCGACCCACCTCCCAAGTTCGTGATCCCTCCCTTGCCCCCTTGGGCCCTTTCCCCCCCCCTGGCGCGCACTACTGTAGGAAGCACTTCCCCGGAGCCGTTGCCCATGACCCATGTCGCCCGAGTCAACGACCAGGACTGGGACTGGGACTAGGGGAGGGGGACTAGGGGAGGGAGGGGGAGGGGGAGGGGAGGGGAGGGGAGGGGAGGGGCAGGGAAAGCAAAAAAGAAAAGTGGAAGAGGAAAAACCGGAAAAAGGGAGGGGAGGGGCGGGGAGGGGCGGGCAGGAGGGCAAGAGGGTAGGAGGGCAAGCGAAAAAATATGGAAAAACATGGAAAAAAAAAAAAAAA